CAGAGATATGTTAGGCTTAGAATACATTTCTTTCAAAAATCACAGAATAGTAGAGATTTAAGAGACCTAAATTATACCTTATATAATTTTGTATCTTTGTCATAGAATGAAAAGATTGTGCATAGAAAATGAAAACATCTTTTCCTTGTTTTTTAGTATTTTTCTAGTCTTTGGTAACAAGACTGCCAGGCCTCCTTAGCCTTACTCCTGAGGGAAAGGCGAGTGCATTATTTTCCCTTCCTGCAACCCCATGATGCAGGACAATCAATGCGATGGGGAGTCAAGTCAAAGTAGAAACTCAACTTATTACTGTGAGTGTCAGCTTATATAGGTTAAGTAACATTGTGTGATGCGAGGGTAACTAGCAAATGAGAGAGAGAGTCAAGCCCTCCCTCTGGCTAGAGGGTCATCTACCTATATTTTGCTGTCTCATCCTCACTCGGTAGCTTTGAGACTATTTTTCAAACTCAAGCTAGACTTTTTCTGTCCTACAGACCTTGAAGTACAGGCCCTAAGATAATTTTGACCCAACACAAGACTAATTTTAAAAACCCCTTTCTATATCTGTAAGCTATTTCTTTGAGAAAATTTCTACATTACTATTAATGTTTTCCTTCATTTTAGATTTTGAATGAAAGGTTAAAGATCATATTTTAGAGAAGTCAGTGATACAATGATAGAATCTTTGCATAAAATCCCTTTGATATTTTTTCAATAATTTTAAAACTTATCATCCATCAAGAGAAAAAAAATCTGTTAAAACTCACAATTTTAGAAAAAATTAACACTTCAGAATATGTAATGATACCTCCATTTTAAAGTGACAACTTAGTTTAAATTTAAATTTTACATCAAATTTTCTAAATCTTGTACTAAAAAATGATGGGGTCTTGAGTGGAGGTTTCATGTGGAAAAATTTAAATTATTCAATTTGTGGAAGAAAAAGAAAAGGCAAAAAGCAAAAGAAAAGTATAGTCAGACTTTTTGATGAAATAGTTAATATCTATGTATGTCAGTATTGTTTAGGGTTCTTTACTGCTATGCATATGTTGTTTTGTAAGTTTATGGCTTAAAATATATACACATTTGTAATATTTACAAACACAAACATATAATTAGAAGCATACATATTGTGTGCTATGCATTTGTGTTCTACTAACTATAGATGATTAACATCAGTTTTTCTCTTGTTAACCACTCTGCATTTTCAACTTTGCTAGAAATAAAGAGAGGTGTAAATATCTGAGACTAGGTTACCCATCCCAGGGAGAGCAATTTTCCCAGAATTGAGAGCCTCTAGATCTCTGAGATTGATCTGGATCTGTGTAATTTTCTAATGTCAATCCTGAAACAGGAGACTCAGTAGTTTGAGCAAGAAAGGTAAGCACAAGCTGAAGACAAAATCAGACAATGAGAATCTGGTGTTTTTTTGACCTTGAATGCATTTCAGCCCTGTGATCCATTCTTGCTTTCCTCAAATGTGGAGAAGAAATACTGTAATGGTTTAGCATAAATTTTTAACATCAGTTTGGTAAAAGGAAAAAAGAATGTAAGAATTTTAATTATAGTCTATGCTCATCTTTGCCTCAAGTCAAGAGAATTATATATGAACATCAGCTAATATGTCAATAGGTTATGCATGCCTTTTGTGGAGCACCAGTGGGCACAGGCATATAACGTGTTACACAGATCAAAGTACATACTACTTTCTTCTGGGTCAGGTGAAAAGAAACTAATAGCATAAATTTAATTCCTGTTCCACAGGAGAAAATAATGTCCAACAATGAAATTGTTACTCAAAAACAATCAGTTCTTCATCTGCTCCAGTGCATCAGGGGTTTTCCTCTATTGCAGGAGCTAAAGAAGCATAAAATATGAAACACGCCTTCCAGTAGAGGAACAGGGACATTTTGGGGCAGTCTGCAGCATCTGCAAGGGTGTGCAAGACCAGTTTCTGCTGCATTACTAAAAAGCACTGCATGAAAAGACTGGTGACCTTTCTGAATTTTGTTACAATCTGCTCTTTCCCATGCTTCATTTTACTCTACTGTTTTACATTTGTAGATCACACGTTTATACAGATTGACAGTTAATGAGAATAATTTTTGATCAGGAAGATGAAATCATTCAAATTCCAATTAGAATATGATTGACCCTGATGACCTTGTTTGGTGATTTCTATTATCCCATCAGCCCAGATGTTGCCACATTTCTGCTCTGTAGCAAAGCTACAGCATTTGGAAGCACAGTTTTAATTATCAGTCCCAAGAGAGCTAATCTCGCTCCTGTTATGCAAATGTTGCTAGAGGCACACAACCTCCTTAGAAAATCCAGTTAGGGTTGGGAGACAGGGCTTGGTACAGAATTAGAAGTTATTTTGGAGGGTTTGCTGAGTCACACCTTTGTAGTGTAAGAAAACAAGGCTATAGGGACAATATCGAAAATGTAATAACCTCCATTTTCACTTTTGCCTCACTGAAAATTGGAGCTAGAGTACTGTGGTATCTAGAGTTACTATGAAGCGGCTCTCTGTAAGGTACAGTGTGTGACTAAGTCCAACATTTCACAAGAAATCCTGGTAGAGAGTTCAGTTACAGACTTGTTGAGAGACAACAGGGCTGCCCGTAAGCCCCACGTCTCTGATATAGTCAGCTTGACAAAGCAGCCAACCAGAATGGTCTGAGGCCTGACCCAGGAGCCTAGACCCCTGCAACCTGGCAGTGAGACATGCACAGTGTGCATGCTGTTGCCTCTAGCAACATTTACATAACAAGAGCAAGATCAACTCAGCAAATTTTCTTGCCAGCATTTCAGATCACGACAATTTAAACTGTTTTCAAAACTATTCCTGGAGCCAGCAATGATTAGTCCATAGGAGATCCATGTCGTTTCTTTTTTCTATGTCGCAAACAAGGAAGACATGTTTTTTTTTGTTTTGTTTTGTTTTTTTTTACCAGTTTTGTTCCTAGTAGAGCACTCAGAAGTAGAGGCGAGAAGAACTTCAGTGAAAGTATTCAGAGCTCAAGAATGTTCATCATTGCTCCACTGGGTAGTACACAGCCCAAGTGCATGCTTCGTAGAGAGGAATGGCTACAGAGGTCAAAGCTGTCACAGGTTTGTACAGCATATGAATACAGTCATCAGAAGCTGTAACCCCTAATCAAAGCAAATTCACATACTGTCCTTGATTAAAGCAGCAGAAGACATGCATATGTGCCTCCATAAATATGAGAGTAAAAGTGATATTGAAGTAGTCAAATAGAAGAGAAAATACCCATTGAAATTGCTATCAACTAAACATTTATTATAGAGTAGATACTTTCTAACTCTCTCTATATTTTATTGTGGAAAATAATAACATATTATCATTAGAACATATGTTCATGGAAATTTTATTTAGTCAAAATTTAAAAAATTAACTTTTATGTAGAAACAGAAGTGGAAGTGAACTGATTTTTAAGGTTCTCTCATAAATATATAATTGTATATCTACTGTCTTGTTCACCAGGTGTGCATCTGTATGTATGTGTGTATGTGTGAGACCTAAAGTTCCAAGAACATGCTAGAGCCTTTTCCCTTTATATGCTCTTAAATATTAAGAAAATTCTTATTGTAGCCATTCGATAGAACTCACAATAAAGAACTGCATTTCAGCGATGGAGTTAGCAGATTCTGGGTTTCAATGTGTTCATTGTTTCTTCCTTTGTACCCTTCTCCTTCATCCCCCATCCGAATATTGATTTCTCAATACTATGCAAATTAGGAGAGTCATTGCAGACAGGACTTAAAACTTCACGATCTTTAGCAGGTCCATGGACTGTTAAACAGGCAAAGCCTTCTATATACTGTACTGGATGGTGTCAGCATCTACCAGCTAACTTCAGACACACCATCAAGTCCTCAGAAATAGACATCATTTAGCAAATTCCACTCAAGTAAAAGGCTTTTAGAAAAATAACCAGAGAGGTAATAGGTACAGTCAAATCTGTTTGGTTTTCAACTACAGTGTTTTTCTTGGTGTTGGGTTGTTGCTTATCTTTATCTAGTATTTCAATCACTACCTCATTTTACCTTCTTATTTCATTTTTACCTATCTCTGTATTTTGTTGGTTGAGTATTTCTGTGATATCCAAGTTCCATTTGTTCCAGTGGGTATGTTTTGCCAGGACAGTCATAATCAAACCCTGCAGTTTGTTATGATTGACATTAGTAGTACAGAAAAGGATTTTCTGCTCAGACCCTAAGTTTAAACACTAAGAACAACAACCGATAGATTGAAACTCAAAAAACTATAAAGACACTATCATTTAAATAAAAAGATAGCCCATAGAACAGGAAAAATGTTTATCAATTAAAAATATTACAGAGGGCTACTATCTAGAATATACAAAGACCTCCAAAAACTAAACATCATGAAACAAGCAATACTATCACAGATAAAGATGTGGAGCTAAACAGAGAGTTCTTAGAGGTCACACACAAATAGCTGAGAACACATTGTTTTTATTTTGAGATTATAACACAATTACTAATTTTACTGTGGGCTTCCTCACTCCCCCCAAACCTTCCCATGTATACTCCTTGCTATCTTTCAAATTCATGACCTTTAAAGAAATTGGTTGTTATTATATGCATATACGTGTATATACATATATTTCCAAATACAATCTTTTCGGTCTATACAATGTTATTTGTATGTATGTCTATAGCCTTTGAGGAAGTGCAAACTGAAACTACTTTAAGATTTTATTTTACACCAGTCAAAAAAGAAAAAAAAGCTAGATTAAAAAAAATTCAAAACATTTCACCAGCACTACCAACAACAGCAACAATATATGTTTGGAAAAGGGAATATTTAGTCACTCTTAGCAGGTGTGCAAACTGGTTCAGCCACTACAGACATCAATGTGGAGCTTTATCCAAGAGCTAGAAGTAGATCTACCTTATTATCAGCTCTCACTCTTGAGCGTTTACTGAAATAACTCTGCATCTTACTACAGAATCGTTCTTCATCCGTGCTCATTGCTTCTCTATTCACAACACCCAGCAAATGGAAAAAATCCAGATACCTACTCAACTGATTGAATAGAGAGTGACATCATGAGGTATTTGTACAATGGAATATTTTCAGCTTTTGAGAAAACAGACTTATGCAATTCCTAGGTAAGCAGGTTAATTAAATGGTGATTTCAATGAATAATGAACCCCAAATTTCTAGTATTTTTGAACACTTGGTTCCTAGCTGGTGGTGCTGTGTTGGAGCTCTTTGGAAGAAGCAGCCCTGCTAGGGCAAAGATGTCGCTAGAGATGGATTTGAAACTTTAAATTCTCCCGACACTTCCAGCTCACTCTTTTTGCTTCACACTTGAGTTTGAAGATGCAGGCTCTCACCTTCCTCCCCCAGCTCTGTGCAGGCTGCCTGCTGCTGTGCCTTTCTACCGTGATGGATATTTATTCCTCTGGAACCATCAGATCCTCTTTCCCCAAACCTCTTGCTTCTGTAGTTTCCTCGGTTGGGGTGTTTTATCACACCAACAAGTAAGTAACTAATGTAATCTGGAAACAATCTTTCAGAGTGAGGTAACAGACCCGTGAAGACAAAAGTCACATGTCTTTTCTCATTTGTGCATGTGCACTTCGAGTCTTCTGAAAATTCACGTTTCATTTGAAACACTTGTAGAGGTCAGGAAATCAGCACGGGACAGTGGCAGGGGACTTTCAAAGGATATCAGAGAATGCAGTCGTAGGAAGGGAGAAAAGGGAAGAGCAGAATAAAAATTGATAAACTGGAGTGGGTGAGGGAAAGCAAGATAGAAGGAATATAGGGAGGAGCTTTACATGAGTTTCATGTAAGCCTAGTAATATAGAAGATTCATAAACTATACACACGCACACACACACACACACACACAAGAAGAATTCAGACAGTTAGCTTATAATGAGCTGACAATATCCATATTATACACTACAAAATAAGAAAAACCTGACACCAGGAATGGGCTACTTCTTTAAAAGTTGTCAAGTGTCGCCTCATAGACCCTCAGACATTACAGGATGTTACTAAAGGTCTTGCTTACCCTACAGAACTTGACGTTCAGACCCTACTGCTGTATGAGAGTCTAAAAACATGGCAACATTAAACGAGTCCTGACAGGGACATTTAATCATCCTGGCAAATTTCCCGGTGCTAGAAGATGGTACACATGCTACCGGAGAAGCAATGCTGTTGCCTTTCAATACCGTTTGCTGCTTTGTCACCACACGGGTCCTCTTTGGTTCATGTCTAAGGTGTGAACAGCAGTCATGATATGTGGAAAGTTTCCTCAACCCTCAGCAGCCCCAGGAAATATGACAGTATGTCTTCGTTCCTTTAGGATTGGAGGTGCAGTGTTTGCTCGTCAGCAGTTGAAGCACTTGTGATAAACCTCTCCTGTTGACCTCCAGGGCAACCCCAGGAGCAATGTGCATCAGTAAAGGGTGCTTGTGGTGGCCTAAGTCTTTCAGTTTTATTCCTCCCCATTCTTCAGGACATGCTGCTCTAGGTTCTCAATTCTCTCAAAATTTATTCTCAAACAAAATTCTCCTTGAGATCTTGATAAGTCTTAGGGTAAAGTACCATGTGTCACCTCTCACAGGATGATTTGTGTGTGTGAACTAGATGTTATAGAATGAAATTTTCCACTCCTCTTAAGGAACTCCATGCTTCACTGGGTTCAAAAGAGAGACTCAGAGGGACCACAGGATGTCTGCTCAGCACACTACACTAACTGTCTTTAAATCTGGCACTTTTCCTTTCTCTGTCTTTCTCTTTCTGCCTGCCTCTCTGGAATGCATTAAGTAGTACAGGAACCATCATTTTCATATTTCTTGTTTAATTTTGATTAATAAAAGAGTGTGCTTTAAGAGAAAGATTATTTTGTAAAGGACTCACAAAAAAAATTCATGAATTTGTATTAGGTCAAGGATAAAATCCTGAACCAATAGCCAATCTCTTTTCTTTTGTATATGTTTGAATAATTTTTGCTGGTTTACTCTTTTCTATGTTGAGATTCCCATAAAAGTATGTTAGAAATTAGGTGAGGAAATTTTCATACTGAAAAATACTCTCAGAAATTCCAAGGGAGAGACAGACCTGTATTAGTGTGTGAACTCTCTCTCTTTTTTTTAAGTTTCTGTTTCTGAAAAGAAACTTCATTTATCATCCAGTGACATCCCTTGCATTGGATATCTGTGGCTCTTGGTCACTGAGTACTGATTGATTCCTCATAACTTCTGTGTGGTGAAGCACGAAGTATTTCTCAGCACCAAGGCATTTTCCCTGTGGAATAATATTTTTTTTCTGGAAATGTACATCACAGTCTTGGTGACTTGTTTCCACACTTGTTAATTTTTCACTTTTACTTATTTCTTTTTAATTAATACATTCTCATAAAATGTTTTCTTGAGTAATACAGATATCTATAGAATGCATTTGCTAGCATAAAGGACTTGTGGGCAAATAAGAGATACACAAAGAGCCTGTTGTTGACACCTTTCAGTGTTTGACTTTGCTTTTGCATTTAGTATTTTTTTAATAACTTATATGTGCATTTAAAAATGAATAGTCATAAACATGCAATAATTAAACTGCTATAATTAAAATTTTATGATATTGTTTCATTAAGTTAAAGGTTAATGTAAAAGACTTGTTGAGTTCCATTAGCAAGTAAATCAAATGGTTTGAAAATGCTGTCTTCATTTATTCTGAAAGGATCGGTGTCCTCTTACTTCCTCTTTCAGGGGTTGCTCTTGAGGGAGGCAAACGAAGGTGGGCAAAGGAAATGCCCCTTTCTGCTGCTGACTAGTGGGGAAGATAAGATTAGTGAAAAGAAATGGCAAACGATTTCATGATTACTCAGGAAGGAAAGGAAAGCAAAAACAAGCAAACAGAAAGCTCCCCAGAGCAGTTGCCTTTAAGTGAGAATTTGGTGATATAAGTTTCCATAGAAAACTATCCTTGAGCTAAGATCAGAAAAGTTAGAGAGGATTATAATGAAGCAGGATTAAGAAGAACTTTATAAATGGAAGTCAGTGATCAAATACCCGGTCTTTCAAGAAATAGGAGAATCTAGAAATGGAAAGAAGGAAACCTGGGGAGAGCTCAGAGATGGCAAGGACACCATTGTTGCTGCTGAGACAGGGAGGTAAGAAGGACTGGGCAGGTGGATGATTTCGGAGGCGTTGAAGACATTATTCTTTGCATTAAGAACAATAGAAGTTTAACAACATGGTTATGAGCATGAAAAATCATTTGATTGGTCAAGTTCACATTTTTAAAGCGATCCCCCATTTGCTCATGGTACAGTTTGGATTTGGTTAAGACAAACTTAATATTTTTCACAAATGCTCAATTTTAAAGCTTTGATTAAAGGCAAAAATTAGTAATATATTTTATCATGCTATTAAGGTTCTCTTTTTGCTCTTCTTCCTTTCTTTTATTTCTCAAATTGTAATTGATTCAAAGTTAATAAATTTAATAAAGAAAAGTAGTTAGGAAAAGCATTTTCTAACCTCTTACAAGAATGTATGGAAAAATAAATTCTTATACACACTGTGAAGAAAGAGTAATAAATAATAACCAGCAGGTATACAGATTTATAAATGAGAAACAAACTTATTCGACCAATAAATATAAAGCTGTGTGGGGAAAATATGAGGCATTTACCTGATTATACTTTAACTATAAAACTCGGAAGTCAGATATCAGGGTAAAAACCTGAATGATGAGCAACCAGCGACTTCCTTTTTTCCTGTTCCTCCATCCTAAATGGACTGAGAACCTCTCTCATCCCTGCTCTACTACTTCCTATGTCTATCTGTCCTCAGTTCTCCAAAACTTCTGTGATTAATTTTTGCCAGCAAATAGCTAGCTCTATGCTCTGATTCAAAACATAGATATTATATACTTTCTTATTTGTGATAGATTTTAATAATCTGTTATCTATCCATCATCTGTCTATCTATCATTCTATCCACCCATCCATCCATCTATTATCTGTTTGTCTGTCTATCTATCTATCTATCTATCTCTCTCTCTATCTATCTATCTACCTATCTATCATTACCATCTATTTAAGAGATATGGTTTAATAGAATTGTGAGATCAAAAGGTTTTCTTTCCAGGAAAACAAAATTACTCACACATTTTTTTACACTGTTTCTTTTAGTGATAAACAGGCACATCTTTTATTGATTCATAAATTTATTTTTTATAAGTTCGATCTTTGTTCTAGGTTTTGGCTGTAGAGAAGTGACAGAACAGTGTTCTTGTGAGTCCTATGTTTTCAATGAGTTAGACAGATAAGAACACTAGCTGCAAAGGGATCTAACATTTGCTATGCTAGACCACAGAACATGAAAGGATAACTGCAAGAGTTTGATGGAGTCTTGGTATATGAGTGTGTAGGGGTATTGGTTTCCATTTTACAGATTTATGCATGAAGAATCACTACCAATGAGATCATTTTTGAGCAGGAAAAAAATTTAGTACCCTAAATCAAAGAAACTTCAAAATTACTTTCCATTTATTGGGAAAAGACACAAAAATTATGTTAATGGTCAATATTTTTGGCAATCAAACTCAAATGCCGACTTCTTGGTACTTGGCGTTAGAATGCCATGTTGGTTGTTCCCGATGTCACTGTGCATCCTCCTCCTGCACTATCTTTAGTGGCTGGAAGCCGGTCTGTTTTGGCTCTCAGTGAAGTGCCTGCGAGTTGATGATTATAGATGCTGTGAATAGCATGGTTGGGGAAAGATCCACTTCATTTGCAGCACAGTTTAATTATAAGAGAACTTTTAAAACTAATGCTTCCTTGTTAATTTCTTTCTCAGATTTTGTCCTTCCCTTTTGTTTAGCAGATGTGTTTTCATTATGTACCCATTTGGTAATTTCGAAACAACTTTACAATGGAGCCCATTTTCTAAACAAAACTGCACAATTATGAGAACTATGAACTTGATTTTCAGCTTTAAAGCTGCAACGGTCAGAGGATACTTTTGTCAGAAATTACACTCTGAGATTGAAGATTAAATCATTTTCAGTGACGACATCCATTTTCAGGGCAATATAACCAAACACTATTATCTGTTTTAATAACCAGAAATAAAATGATCTCATATTTATTCATAATATCTGTGATTTCTAAGCACTAGAAATTGACTTTTTCAGTTCAATAGTATGCTAATTTGACCAGTCAAATCTAAAATCACTCAAAGACAGTTTTCACGTAAACACAGTGGCATTGCTGTCACTGTCAGAAATAAACAGAATTCCTTTTAAGCACCTTGAATCAAAGACACGTATGGGTGCATTGTACTCTCTTCTAGAATGAAGACTTGAGTTTGCCACGAACACATTAGCTGAAGCTCTAAACCCCACTTTGATGGTTTTGGAAGGTGCTTACTCTGTCTCTTCATGTAGAATGACATTGTTCATGTGAGCATGCAATGAGATGCTGAATGCCTACGAACCCAGGGAAAAAGAACAAACCCTATCTTGAGAGAGTATTGATCTTAGAATTTCCATATTCTACAACTGTAAGATACATTTCTGTTGTTTAAGCTATTTAGTCAGTGCTATTTTTATATGACAGTCTGAGTAGACTAAGACACATGCTATCCTGGTCTGTTGATTCATTGTTTCATTGTAAATGCAGCAATATGATTCAAATACTAAATTTTTTTCTATGGAAGGGATTACAGTAAGAAAATCATCAAAATATGGAAACAATCCACGTGGCAAGGAAGATGTAAGATTGGCATTCAAGTCATTTAAGCCAGAGTAAGTAGTTAAGAACACTAATAACATGCTGTCAGTTCTCCTTGCTGAATCTTAAGATTTATAAACATATGCAGATTCAAAGTCCACCTCAAAATTGGCTTAGTTTTCTATCAATACCATTTGACTTATTAGGCAATGTTTTGAGCAAAATCAATAAAGTTAACATCCCACTATTCCAGTGATGTTTATCACATGAATTGAATTCTTATTTTAAAGTGAATATATGGATGTTTAAAATAATTTGTTGGATCATTGTAAGATCACCCAAGATACAATTCAAGAACCAATATAGAATTATTGCTGTAATATTCATATATGCATATTTTTGTATAAAATTCTAAATATCATGATATGGAAAGTTGGATTCAAAAAGTTGTAAAAAAAAACAGCATGAGTTAGAGTCATTGACTAAAATAGCAGAACTTTCCCCAAAGATTTAAGGAAATGTTAAAAAAAAAACTCATGCATACAATTTCATCGTGTCTTTTAATAACTTAAAAGAGAGCAGAAGGTAAGGTCACACTGCATATGTTCTTGCCACCCACAGATTAAAGCTATAGGAGGGAGGGAGGAGTTACCAAGTTCCTGAATTATGGTTAAAACAAGCAGGTGTTTGACTTTTCCAAATTATTTTCCACCCTCATTTAAATGGTACTCAGTAATGTGATAACTTGCATTTAAATTTGTCCTGATAAGTAATTGATGGATAATTACTAGACTTCTCTGATTTTTTTAAATGGGTACCAGTAGAAAACAATAAATATTAACGTAGTTTTGAACACATTTTTTTAAAGTGATTACATTGAAATTTTCATTCATCTGAGCTAAAATATATCATGTAATTAACATACGATGTACTGGGTAGGAGTCTCAATATAAAGCATAAAATATGAAACCATAAAGGCTAAAATATAATTCTGAAAAATATACACCACTAAGAAATAATATCATACATTATCCAAAGTATAATTTGTCAGCTAATTTGTGGATAATCAATCTATATTCAGTGACTAATAATGCCACCCAATCAAATTTTGCTCTACAGGTATGCCGTAACTAATTAATTACAACCAGACACTCATCCCTCTATATAACAGTTTTAGCTTCTCATTCTTTCGTGAACTCTAATTATCAATTTGTATAAGTTATCTCTCACAGCAGACTCCATAGTCTGGAGGCAGAATTCTCTTTCTCTAGTTATACTGGCAAGCAGAAATCATTTAAACTAAAATGTTGGGATTGGCAAGGGTAGAGTTTGGCTCATAAATACCTTTGCCAAGTTTTGCACAGTAAATAGCTTTAATTTAACTAAGCATGACTCATTTCTAACATTCATGACTGGAATTAAGAAATCACTTCATTAGTCTATTAAAGATAATTTCCAGTCTCAGTACACTAATTAGTAAACATCTAGTTCTTAATGAAAAATGAGTTAAAAAGCACTTTGTGCTGTCTCTAGTATGGCTTCAGGAAAAGGCCAAGCATTGCTAACATCAAGATAGTGGCCTGAACCTATAATCCCTGAGTTCAGAATGCTAAGGCAGGAGGATATCCAGCTTGTCCTGGCCTGAGATGTATAGTAAGACCTTGTCTCAATAACCAGCTAAGCAACAGCAGAAAAATAAATCAATTGACTTTATAGCATCACACCACACAAAACATCTGAAAAACTCAGTTAACCAGTTTCTACCTCATCTTCTATGTGAATCATGTAAACTGAAATCGACTAAAGTACAAGACAGAGTAATGCTAACTTCAGTGCCTTCTACTGGATTTTTTCCCCCATTTCCTCTGCCATTTTGACCATATGCCATGCAGTGTGTTGATACATGCCTATTGTTGAGATCACACTTGGCCAAGTACTTGGCTAAGCCACTGAAATGTGAATGGGAGGCTTCTTAGAAGTGGCTCTAATGCGTTTCCTTGGCTCTTTCTCATTACAGGACTGACAATGTGCAAAGCAGAAGATGCAGAACATCTTGGGACGAGAATGAAAAAAAAAATATTGTGTAAAGCTACATTCAGCTTCTAAGAGACATACATGATATGAATGAGAGAGAACGGTATTGTTTCTTACACAAAGATATTGGGAGTACTTACTACAAATGCTGGCATCACTGAGGGTTCATGGTAGAGCTAGCAGATGAAAGCAAGGAACATTGGGCCTTTGAGTTCAGAGGCTAAGGTCTGAGGCTAGTTCTGTGACTACACATGTACAGAACGTCATTCAGTGATACAGTGTTGGGCATATTAAAAGAAATTAAATTTATCTTTGGGTGATTCTAGCCTTCCATTTGTTTATTCTCACCTGGTGTGGGAAGTCCTTCTGTATATGTGTTGCTTTTATTGGTTAATAAAGAAGCTATTTTCAGCCAATGGCTAATACAATATAGCCAGGCTGAAAGAGAAATATATATAGAGAGAGTAGGTGGAGTCAGTGAGAAGCCATGTGGTCCCGCCAGAGACAGACCCTGGACAGAACTTTACCCGGTAAGCCACAGCCACAGCGACGTGGCGATACAAATATTAATGGATATGGGTTAGTTTAGAATATAAACAAAAGCTAAAATATGCTTAAGCTATTAGAAAACAGTATTGCAAATAATATAGTTTCTGTGTGATTATTTCGGGACTGAGCAACTGGGAAAAAACAAGCAGCCTTCCACCAATACTCATCCATTTAACACTACATATAAAAATTACATGAAAACCACTGTGAAAGAGAAATAAAAGAGATCTGGTCAGTGGATGGGGGAGGAATGTAGAAGGAGGAATTGGGATAGGAACAGAAGTTTTAGATTGGGGGAGGATGGAGGGAGAGAGTACCAAGAGAGACAGCCTTGTCTGGGGACATTTTTGGGACAAGATAGAAGCCTAGACCAATTGAAACTCCCTGAAATCAATGAAGGTGACCCTAGATAAGACCTCTAGCAATGAGTGATACTAAGCCTGAACCAGCTATCTCCTATAACTAGACAAGAATTCCAGTGGAGATTTGGGACAACAACCGAGCCACAAACCCTCAACATACAAACTGTCTTGCCTGTAAGATGTGTTGCAGTGAAGATGATGCAGACATTGTGGGAGTGATCAACTGGTGACTGGCACAGCTGGAGACCCATACCCTGTGAGGAAGCTCACCCCTGAGGGCCAGGTCTCAGAGGCCTGATACCCAAGAGACCTAAAAGAAGTCAATGAAATGATTCATAATGTCATTCTGCTATAGTCATAGATTTGTGCCTAACCCAATCATCAGAGAGGCTTCATCCAGCAACTGATGGAAACAGATGCAGAGACCGACAGCCAAAAAACCAAACATTAGGTAGAGCTTCGGAAATCCTACAGAAAGAGGTATCAAGGGCACCACAAGAAAATCCACAGGACCAACTAATCTGGGCACACAGGGGCTCACTGTGTCTGAACCGACAACCAGGGAGCCTGCATAGGACTGACTTAGCCCTTCTGCCTCTATGTTACAGTTGTATAACTTGGTCTTCTTGTGGAACTCCTGGCAGTGTGAGCAGGGTACTATCTCTGACTCTGTTGCCTGCTTTTGGAAACCTTTCCTCCTGTCAGATTGCCTCATCCCACCTTGCTGGAGGAGGGGACAACTGGTCTCAATGCAAGTTGATATACCGTGGCTGACTGATATCCATGGGACGTATGCCTATATCTGAAGAGAAACAGTGGAGTGAGGATGAGAGAGGGGTTAGAGGAAAAGTGGGAGGTGTTGGATGCTGGGAAGAGGACAGGGAGGGGAAGCTTTGGTTAGGAGGTAAAAACAAGAAAAAAAATCTTTAAAAAGTCTCCAACAAAATTGTCAAAGTAGATCATTCTTTTTCAAATATTCTGACAAGCACTGCTCTCTCTCTCTCTCTCTCGCTCTCTCTCTCTCTCTCTCTCTCTCTCTCTCGCTCACACACACACACACACATGCACACTCATTTTACATATAGAATTAGCAAATAGATAAATTCATGTAAATATGTTGGGCTCTTCTTCAGAGTTTCATTTTGCTCATTCACCAACATCAAAATTCTGTCCCAGAAAAAGTGATATACATTTTTCCCTGGAGATTACCACAATGCTTGTAGATGTATCAGCAGTGTTTTCTCACATGTATTGTATGCAATTTTATAGACTATTTCAAGGATGTAGTCTTAAGGGTTGAGCCTAGCTAAGATTTATTTGATTCATTGCCTAAATAAAATAGGAACATGCCTCTTGTTTTTAAACCAGTAATACATGTAGGAGATGGCTAACAGTTTGTTGTCAGTACCTTAAGACACAAACTTTAGGTTCTAGCTAAAGCTGTCTTTACCACACCAATGCAAGTGTCCAGGTAAAGGAAAACATATAAGATAATACCTATAAACATTGGTATTTCATGGGAAAGAGTTTGGCCTCTCAGATATCTTGAAATGGTCTGTATAAGCTATTCCTTAAGAGCTATTGTTTTAGAGCAAGGGCTTCCATTTTTGTATTTGTAATAAATATTCAACAAAAATTTGTAATGGCAATATGGCCTGTCTCTATAGAGCAGCTAGCACGTGCAACAATCCTCAGCATCTTACACCAGTCATGCTTATGTGTATTCTGCCCATTCATCAGAAAGAAACAGGTGGTCTCAAATGTTAATATTCTAAGTTCACCGAGTTTGTAATTTGTAGAATTGTGACCAGACTCTCAGACATTTAAATCAAAAAAGATGTGCTAATTCTTAACCACAAAACTAATTGACTTTTTTTCAATAGAAATACACATTGAGCATAAATTAGAGGTGATTCAGGGACCATAGACATCCATTTCTGTGAGGAAACCTTATTCTGGACTATAAAACCATGACAAATACACCTAGGAAGACTTTTCCCAGGATGGTGTGTGGTGAAACAGCACTGCACATTTTCCTGTACAAGGCCTGCCTTCGTCATGTTCTTTAATTTCTGTTTCTCTACTACTCGCCACCAAAAATTTAGACTCTTTCACTCCATGAAAGTTCATTGAAAAGGAAAGAAAGAAAGAAAGAAAGAAAGAAAGAAAGAAAGAAAGAAAGAAAGAAAGCAAGCAAGCAAGCAAGAAAGCATGCAGAAGGGAATTGGCAATCTTCTTTTAGAAGTCTAGATCCTTTTCTGAGACAGCTGGGATTTCCGTGGCTCCACATGTTCACTGGAATCTTTCCTAGGACTCTAGGCTAATCAGACACAGCTTCCTTTTCCAGAGTCTGTTATTTTCTTTCAGATGTTAAGCCTGTGGGAACAGGAATTTGTTTTCATCTCTAGACTGCACCCTCTGTGACATCACCAGTGCTCTGCCAGATAAGCAAGGCATGGTGATAAGGGTGTCCCAGTTACCTACCCGGCCAGGGCTCTGATAACCTCGAAGTCTGATCATTTCCTATTTGGGTTGATTCTTCCCTTTTAGATAAAGTTCTTGAAATCAAAGGAACCTCTGCTGCAAGAGTGGGAACAGGTATCTAGTGAATTGCTGGTGCCTGGGTTGAAGGAGCACAGCTGTGTCAATGACATAGGCGTGTGAGCTGGGAGAGTTCGTGCTTTCCTTGTGAGACAGTCTGCCTAGCTTCCACCTCCTCTTAACTCTAGACATGAACTTATGACAGAGGAATACATATTGCTCATGAAAACATACCTTCATGTGATGATTATTCATTTATTGTGTTAAATATCTGGGTATTTACTGTAGGCACAGTGTTAGGACTGGAAAACAATGGGAAATAAAACCACAGGTCTTACTTCCAAGAATCTTATTGTTTAGGGGAGAGGTTTGTTATTAACTATATAATTAAGCATGTAGTCATTGTCTATAAGCAAAATCAGATTATTCTTCTTACCTTTGATTATTTATAGGAAATTTATCTCTGTAAAAAGGATCATCTTTTGTTTTGATTCTGATTTGTTAAAATATTCCCCAAGGCTCATGGTAGGCCTTGTGATTCTGAGCTGTGCCCGTATAACACACTTTACTCTACCACATTTTTCATTATGTGAAACAACCTGTGCCAATTCTTTTCCATGGAAGTTATTCACAGTTCAACTGATAGTGTTCTGTCGCTTCGTCAACTCCAGCCAAGGAAAATGAATCCTGCCACTGCATTCTCCTAACTCAGGCAGATACGTAGGTAGACTCTCAGTGCCTCGATTTGAAGGTTGACAGTGCTGTGCCTTGACATATGTGGTGGGACTTACTGCTTCAGCTCTTTCATCTTCACCTATATTATGGGGCTTACTATTCCTATGTGTGATAGTACCAGGAGACCTGGTGTAGAATTTGTTAGATGACAACATGCTCGTGAGTACATTGATTCTTCTGTAGTGCAATTATTTCTATGTCTAATTAATCATGAATGTGAGTCAATATCCAAAGCCTGTTAAACTATGTACTTATCCCCTTTGTGGTTACTGTGACCAAACACTTGACAAGAACAACTGTCGAAGAAAGCTTTGCTTTTACTTACAGTTCAAGGGACTCGAGTCTATCATGGTGGGAAAGACACAACAGCAGGATTAAAGGTCAGCCTTTCTAATTCTCTCTCTTTCTTTCTCTACTTTCCATGTAGGCTTCCAGGTTGTTTGGTGTGGGACAATTTTGTATTCTGTCAATTATGTTTTAAATAAATGCTGATTTGCCAGTATCCAGGTAGGAAGTATAGGCAGAACAACCAGACAGGAAGTAGAGCAGGTCAATGAGAACAGGAGTATTCTGGGAAGAAGGACCATCTCCCCAGTCCTGTCCAGATACTGAAGAAGGAAGATGTGACCTGCCCTGCTGAAAAAGGTACCGAGCCATGTGGCTAACATATACTAGAATAATGGGCTAATATAAGTTATAAGAACTAATAAGAAGCCTGAGCTAATGGACCAATCAGTTTATAACTTATGTAGACCTTTGTGTAATTTTCTTTGGGGCTAAATGGCTGCAGGAACTGGGCAGGACAGAAAAGTCAGTCAACAATTGTTCTTTTTTTCAGTCATCTGTATTTAACCTTCCCACTTTCCTAGAATATTCTTTCATCTGGGGGCTGTCCAGATTCTTCTCCTATCTCCTTCTTTGTCATCAGTGAAGACTCCCTCCCTAGTCATCACATCTAT